GCCCCAACAGTCTTTTCTTACCAGGTGAATGTATGGGTGAGGAAGTAGCCTTCCTTCTTCATATTGATTTTCTCTGATCAATTCTTGACTCTAAGCATAAACTAAATGAGACAGAGAAATAGAAATAACAATTGGAAATGAGGAAGAAATACATTGTTCTGATGGCTGTGGTTCACATAACTTCCTTTTGTTTTCTTTAATGTTCTGGTGAAATCTTTGGACTTAAATCTCTAATTCTCCTAGTTTGAAGATGACATTACCTAATTCTAGATTTTCTATGAGCATGCTGGTAGTAAGTATGTGACTGAACTAACCAAGGTGGATACCATTTTGAGCTAGAAATGCTTGCTTAACTATAAAAGGAAGAAATAAGGACAGCTATCAGAAAATAAAAAAGCTTCATGGTACGTACTAATGTACAGTGAACAAGACAAAGAACTATATATACTAAACACCTAACATTAAGAGTGCTTAAGTTTTACCTTTTTTGTTCTCAATTCTTCTTGTAAAACATATTGACTGTTACAGATACAAAAGAAACTTACACTGTTTCTCTTCCTCTCTCTTTCCTCCTCCCTCGAAGGTTATCTATTAACCTAACTAGTCATTATCCCTGCATGTATTTTTATAACTTCAGTATATATGCATATTTTATGAAAATAACAATAATTTTTTACATTGAAAAATTAATATGTTTTTTAGAATCATTTAGAAATTGGCCTCTTCCAGTTAACATTATATTTTGAGGAGTTACGTTTATCAATGCATGTGACTACTTTTAGGTGAATATACAATATAAGAGAAGGACAAGATACAATATGTACATATGGGTGAAACACAATACGGAACTGAATAATCTATCCTTCATACACCAAGAGTGCCATCTGCAAGTTGTGAGTTAGCTTTTAGGGTTGTCCTTCTATGTACCCCACAGGTCCATACAGTAACATATTAGTCAACCAAGGAGCCTCAAAAAAGTTCAGGGACCTAATTTAATAGACATGAAGTGCTCTGGCCAGATTGCTTCTAAGTTAGAAATTGATAATGAAAATATAGTTTAGGAAAATGTATTTGGAAGCTAAAAATACACTTAAAGAAAGAATTTTTTTTGGGGGAGGGGGAAGTTCAGCTCCTTACAGCACATACGGAACAGGTAGAAAGAGCTGCATTTAAGGAATTTATTGGGCTAAAAGCATATAAGTTTTCCTCAGACTAGCTTTCCTTGGGCTAAAAGAAGGCACATGAGCTGTGTTATCTTGAAAAGCAAACCACTCAAGAGAGTTTTTGCTCAAGTGAGGCATTCTAGATTAAGTTTAAAGGGGTGTAGTTAATATGTCAAACCTAAGGGTAGAGGGTCTAAAATATCAGCCACAATTTGAACTTACCTTCCCTGAGAAGAAAGTGGTAGTAGTTGCCTGGAGATGATCTCAAATAAGCCTGCATGGTGCTCTGCGTGAGGAAGACTCTGTATTGAAAATCTGTGCCAATCACAGGACTGAGTGAGACCTTCCTTTTCCTGCTCCTTTTCAATGCTACCATAGTCAGAGGCTGCCTACAAGCAAGAGTGGATAAGGCGGGGAAATGTAAAATTCATGATATCTCTCCTTTCCAGTCAGATTTCGTTCGAAACAGAAAAATGAAACTAAACAAAAAAGAAACAAAACCCATTAGAAATGATACACCATTTCACTAAACGAAGTGATAAGAATTCAGCAATGGCTGTTATAGTGCATATTGGTGTCTTCAAATTAGTTGTTCAGATTACCAGATGTAAGTATGCAAAATTGGTCAAAAAATAAAAAGAAAAAAAATGTATCAATTATTCTTTTCAATAGACCAGTAGAAATCAGCAGTATAATTATTGGAGCTATCCTATATGTACACACACACATACTTGTATACATATTTATGCATTCCCCCTTATTTCTTTTCTCCTTTTCCTCATCCAGTCATTCCCTCCTTTTGGACAGTTCTTTACCCTTTACAGTATCTATTGTACCTTCCAGATTTTATGTGCTCTTTCAGGTTAGAATATAACTCCTACTGAGGAAGAAAGCAAAGTGGAAATTATCTGAGAACCAAAGTTGATTTATATTTGATTGGATTACACTTTGAGTACCTAAAATGTGATTTTAAAAAGGCTGTCATGTCAGCTAAAGTACTTCCTGCTTTGCTTCCGTGAAGTGCTGCTCCTTCCAAAAAACAGTTTTAGGAGACTTTCTTTTTTCAATCTTCACCAATTTATGAAGTGGATACTGTTTTACCACCATTGGACAGATGAAAAAATGTAAGTTGCCTGAGATCACATAACTAATAAGAGAATTTATGGAGATAAGAAATTATACTTTAGACAAATCTGACTCCAAAATCTTATATTAATTTCTAGCTACTGACCTTTATGAGAAAATATTTTTTATTTATTTAAAAATATTTAATAATCACCAATAATGCCTGTGCTAGCTTTTAGGAATTAGGAAATCAGTAATTAGTGGGTATACTTATGTGTACATATGCGTATATGTGTGTGCATGTATGTAGAAATGTGTGTATGTATATTTATTGTATACACATCTGTGTTCATATTCCAGTGTAGACTTATGGTGCTGGAAAATAGACAACATGTGAGCTACAAAGTGAAGGGAAAAGTAAGACGTCATCTAGTAATATGCTGGGCAGGACTCAAGGAGAAATGAAACTGGACTGTGTCCTTCAGCGTGAATAGCTTTTCACTGGTTAACTGGTGGGGCTGGAGTCTGATCCCTGAGAGGATCAGAGTGCCTTCTGTTGGAGAGAGAATAGCCTGTGCAAAAATGTTTATATTTTTTGGGTAGTTTGAAGGGATATAGAATTTGAGTTTGTTTTTCTCTGAGCATTGTGAAGATGCTATTTTCTAGTCACTTGTAGCCAATGAATCTTCTGTTGGTCGAATTATCAGTCCTCTATGGCCCATCATTCTTTTTCATTTTTTGGGTTAATTTTAATATACTCTTTTTGTGTTTGCTGCTCAGTAGATTTATAACATGGAATCTACAGATGGAATTTTTTTTAAAAATTGCCTGATTTGGGGACTTCTAGAGATTTTTAAATCTGAGAATTCATTTCTTTCACATCTGTCAGGGTGGTGAATTACAAAAACAAGGCAAGCATAGCACAAGGGTTGGCAAGAGTGTGGATAAAAGGAAAATGCTGCACACTGTTGGTATGAATGTGAATCAGTGAAGCCACTATGGAAGATAGTATAAAGAGTGCTTAAAAATTAAAACTGGATCTACCATATGAGCCAAGAATCCCTCTTCTAGATATATACCTGAAAATATAGAACTAGTGGTATATACCCGTGTTTTAGGTATTTTTCTCTTCAGTGACTGTCTAACCTGTCCACTGAGTTTTAATTTGAATATATTTTAAAATTTTTCTAGTAGCTATATCTTAGACTCTTTTCAAATATACTTTGTTTTTTCTTCATAGCACCTTCATTTCTATAGTGTGTATTCCTTTTTTAAGGCACTAAGTACTTTGAACATAATTTCTAATCCCAATCAAATGGACTAATTTGACCCTAAATTGTTTTTGTGAAATGGTTTAAGCTATTTATTTTTACTTATTTTATTTTATTTTTTTATTAATTTTTTAAATTTTTTTCAAAGTTTTATTGATAAACAGATAGCAATGAGTTATTTTATTTATTTTAAAAGGAAAAAAATCCAATATAAATAACAACAACAGGGGCTGGCCAAATAGCTCAGCAGATTAAAGCACCTGCAAACAGGTGCAGGGTCAGGGGTTCCATCTCCAGGCCTGCCATGCCACCCCCACCCCTGGGGCATGCTGAAAGGGCGATTGAGACTGGGTGTAGTGGTATGTCCCTGTAATCTCAGGTCTTGAGAGGATATACGAGTCCCATCTAGTAGTGAGACCCTGAACACCCTGTAGACCTTTCCCTGAAAAAAACAAAACAAAACAAAAAACAAAGACAATGACTGAGTGACATAAAACAATAAAAACAATAAAAATTAAAATACAAAATTTTAAAACAAGAATAAAAAGTTAACAATGGTTGCTATATTGCATATTACTATCATCAAATTTGTTACTTGAGATTCCCAGGTATAGGTATGCAAGACTGATCAAACAATTAATTAAACATGACCTAAATTCTATATTTGATCTTAAATTTCATGGAATCACAGGCCAAAAGTTCTAACCTGGCACAGTGTGGAAGCCTATAATGGGAGATAAGTAAAGACCTAAGTCATGAAATTGTAAAAAATAATGTTGATCAGAGATATTGAAGCTCAAATAGGGGCAGTGGACTAAAAAGCAAGGGATGAAAGAGAAAGCATAAAAATCAAAGAGTGATTGGATTTGGGGAGTTAAGGGAGAGGATTCCTTCAGGTTTTGATTTGTGCATCAGGAAGATGGTAATGATGATGGTATGTACTAACAAGTAGAAAGAGGGAAGATGAGTAATTTCATGATAATCGATTGCAAGTTCACTGTAAAAGTCAACAACTTTGAAAGAACCATTTTTTTTTATCAGTTACATGTTTGAACATTGTAGAACATGGTGGTCTTTCCAGGTTCAGAGGGAAGAAGTCATGAAGGTGGCAAGATGTGAAAAGAAGATGAGAAGCTACTTGAGATTGTATAGGTGATTATTTCACAAAGTTTGCCACTGGCAAGAGATAAACAAGAAGTTGGGTGAAAATCCCGGAGTAAATGAAGAATCTCTCACTGAGGGAAGGACTGGAGCAGGTTGTTTGTAGGTTAGATGGAATAAGCCACCAAGTGGTGAAGGGAAGAAACCAGGGAGACACTGCTACAATAAAAGGAGTGATCTAGAGGAAGGAGCATGAGTAGAACTGAATTTAGGTCTTTAAGGATCTTGGATAACATAATTAAATTAAGTAGTAGTATTGCAACCCTAACCTCTGATCTCTGACTTTCTTTTCTTTTTTTCCACTTAAAGTCTCTTTCAGACAAGATCATTGTCATTCATCATGAGTTGTGCCCCTAATGCTTCGCACTTTCCAATTTTCTTGCTCCTTGGGTTCTCAAGAACTAGCATCCCCCATGGCCTCCTTTTTTTCCTGTTCCTGACTATTTACTTGGCCACCATCTTGGGGAATGTGACTCTGGTACTGCTCATCTCCTGGGATTCCAGGCTCCAATCGCCTATGTATTATTTGCTCCGTGGTCTCTCTGTGATAGACTTGGGGCTATCCACCGTAATCTTGCCTCAACTGTTGATTCATCTCGCCTCTGGTTACCCAGCCATCCCTGCTGCACAATGTTTGGCTCAGTTTTTTTTCTTCTATGCATTTGGAGTTACAGATACACTTGTCATTGCTGTCATGGCTCTGGATCGCTACATGGCCATCTGTGACCCCCTGCACTATGCTTTGGTGATGAATCACCAGCTCTGTGCTCGTTTATTGGCCTTGAGCTGGTGGGTTTCTGTGGTGCACACTATGCTGCATGTGGGTCTCATCCTGCCCCTGTGTTGGCCTGGGGATGCTGGGGGCCATGTTAGCCTTCCCCACTTCTTTTGTGACCACCGACCACTTCTGAGAGCCTCTTGCTCTGACATCCATTTCAATGAGCTAGTCATATTTTTGGAAGGTGGCTTTCTCATGCTGGGTCCCTGTGCCCTTATTGTACTCTCCTATGCCCGGATTGGGGCCACCATCATGCGCTTGCCTTCAGCTGCTGGTTGCCTCCAAGCAGTCTCCACTTGCGGATCCCACCTTACCATGGTTTGCTTTGTCTATGGCACTATCATTTGGGTCTACTTCCAGCCTCCTTCCCAGAACTCTCGGAATCAGGATATGGTGGCTTCCGTAATGTACAGTGTTATTACACCTTTGGCCAACCCATTAGTTTATAGTTTCCGTAATAAGGATGTGAAAGATGCCCTCCGCAAGCTGCTGAGACAGGAGGAGAAAGTAAACTGATTAGCCTGCTGTGGGGTATGTTTGGTAAGTGAGAAAAGGGTCAGTGGATCTCAGTCATGGTTGGCTTGGGGGAGATTAGTGGGAACAATGGCTTAGAAAACCAAGGGAAATTCAAATTTCACCATAGTCAGCGCTAACCAGATGCTAAACTAAATCAAAATGATTCAAAGATCTAAACATTAAAAAGAAACACTTTTTTTGAGGGGGATGGGGTACTGGGAATTGAACTCATGACCTTGTGCTTTCCAGGCAGGTGGGGTGCTGCTGAGCTAAGTCCCTGGCCTTAAAAAGAAGCACTTAAGCTTCTGGAAGATAAAGTAGGTAAAAATCTCAAAGTCATAGGTGTAGGCAAGGTCTTTATGAACAGCACTCCCATCGCATAAGAAATAACATCAAGAAATGACAACTGGGATTACACCAGGTTAAAAAACTGCTGCAATACAAAAGGTACTAACAATGGAATGAAGAGCTACCCAAAAGATAGCAACAGCTTTTTTTTTTTTGCCAGCTGTTCTTTAGCTGACTAATTTCAAGAGTACATGAAGAACACAAAAATTTAGATTACCTCCAAAATAAAGACCATAACAAAGAAACTGAAATGGATAGACACTTCTCAGAAGAAGTATGAATTGTCAATAAATATAAGCAAAAATGTTCAACATCTCTGGCTATTAGATATATTCAACTTAAAATGACACTGAAATTTCATCTTACTCCAGAAAGAATTGCTATCATTAAGAAGTCAAATGATAACAAATGCTTGTGTGGTTATGGGGAAAAGATGAACCCTTCCTTCCACATTTTTGGTAGGTACATAAACTAGTACTACCACTTTGTTAGTTAGTATGGAAATTCCTCAAACATCCTGTCCTTGCCTCCTTGGATTGAAGTCTGCTCGGTCATGATATATGATCTTTTTGGTGATTTGTTGCATTGTGTTTGCCACTATCTTGTTGAGCATCTTTGTACCTATGTTCATTAAAGAGATTGGCTTGTAGTTTTCTTTCTTCATTTAGTCCTTGCCTGGTTTTAGAATCATGGCAATGTCTCAGGAATAAATTTGGGAATACTCCTTCTTTTCTAATTTCATTAAAGAATTTGAGAAGTGTTGGCATTAGATCTTACATTGAAGTTTTTGTAGAATTTAGTGGTAAAACCATCAGATCTTGGGCTTTTCTTAGTTGACAATTTTTTTTAAACTTTTTACCTCAATTTCATTGCCTATTACTGGATTATTTGATAATAATTCCGTTTTGGTAACTTGTATATACTTAGAAATATACTCATTTCTTTTGGATTCTATAATTTCTTGGAGTATAGGTTTTTGAAGTAGTTACTAATAATGTTAATATCCATTATGATTTTACCTTTTTCATTTAAAAATTTTATTTGCATTTATTTTATGCCTGAGTTATTCCAGTGCCATAAATTTTTGTTTCTGCAGTTTCTTTTGGGATATCCTTTTCTTCTGTGCAGCTTCCTCCTTTGGTTTAGAAACAATTTGCTCCTTTTCAGTAAGGATCATCTCAATATGGCAGGGGGAGCTCGTGTATGGATTAATCCGGCCATGAGCTCTGTAAGTACGGCAGAGCATCTTGGGTGCTTTGTTCACCTGGACATGTTCAATAACCAGAGAATCCACATCTAAACCCTTAAGCTCAGCATTGATCCCTGCATTTTTAAGCATGTGCTGCAAAAATTCAGCACTCTTTTTGGGCCACTGACCATGTGTCCAGCCCCAGCGTTTGGCCTGGACACACCTACCAACTCCACCATTGTAACACCAGAATGGCACACACTGTTTTTTAATGTGACATTCTTCATTTTTTTGATGGGGATTGAACTCAGGCCCTTATGTTTGCCAGGGAAGTGCTTATTCCACTGAGCCATCTCCCCAGCCCCAACATCCTTCAGATATGTTGTGGACTTTTGGATACACATACCATTGATGGCCTGGACAGTTTCATGTGTGTCCTTAAAGTGAATGTGAAGATTCGAGCCTCTTGATTTGCATGATTTTGTAGGGTTTTTTGGGTTGAGAATAGGGAACCATCTTCAAAAGTCACCTCAGGCTGCTCATGGGAAGCACACTTTTTTCATTTCTAATTGTACTTATGTAGATCTCTTCTTTTCTTTTTTTGGGTAAAACTGGTTAATTGTTTGACTAACTTATTTATTTAATTTTAAATAACCAGTTCTGTGAGTCATTGATTCTTTCTGTACATTTTTAATTTACTAATTTCTTCTCTGCTTTTTATAATTTCTTTTTTGTACTAGCTTTAGATTTGGATTGTTATTGTTTTTCTAGAACTTTGAAGTGTGTCATACCTATTTGGGCTAGTTCTGTTTTTCTGATGTGGTGTCTTAGTTATTTTTTGTTGTTGCTGAGACAAAAGTTAAAGGAGAAAAGGGTTATTTAGCTCACAGCTGATAGAGGTTTTAGTCTATAATCAGCTGGGTCCAATGCAGGGTGGCACGTAGTAGAGGGGCAACAGTTCATGAAGGCAGAAGACAGAAAAATCAATAGTGGAGAGAGAGTAAGAGAAAAAGCCTTTTTCAGTCTATTATATTGTATGCAGGCTACCTGTCCTAAGGCAGGTATAGCATTCGTATCCTTAATCCCAGAATTGCACCAGGAATCATCACTCACTATACATTCAGCTACCTCTGAAAAAGTCTCATGACTTTGTGGGGTGTGGGGACACATCTAGACACACACCACAATATTTGCACTCCAAACCATACATTTCTCTTTTAGGACTATTTTTTTAATTGTGTCCTAGAAGTTCTAGTATGTTATAGGGGCATTAGTATTTAATTCTAGGAACTGTCTAATTTCTTCCTTGATTTCTTCTGTGACTCACTGATTATTCAAGAATATATTATTTGATCTCCATGTATGTATTTTTTCCCCATAATTTTATTGAGAAACAAATAGCAATGAGACAGTTTCAAACCAAATTGGTAGGACAGTTTCAATAATTAACACATTGCATACATTCTTCCTAGTA